AAAAAAAAAAAAAAAAAAAGCTTGAGACCCGCTCCTGCAAGTATTTAACTCACAGAAATGGAGATAGCACCAGGTAAAAATGAAGTAAAAGTTGTGTAAGCTGTGTGTTCGGCCTTGCAGAACAGGAAGCCTGAGAAAGGAGAGGTTATTTAGAATGCAGGTTATCTCGGGGAAAACGTATATTCCAGCGATCCTCTCTGCAATGGGACTTCATTCACCCTCCAAATACCTTTTTTGAAGTTTGTGTCTTAGCTTTCCTCTATTGTGACTTTTACTGCTCCTTCTGCTCTGAATACAGACACCATAAAATTTACTGTTCATCCAAGAACACTTTTGAGAGTAAAAAATGGAATTATTAATAATTACAGGACAATAGCCTTGCCTGGCTGCCATCTTTCTTATGCTGTCCAGTAAGTACCCCTAAAAGTAGAATTGTTGAATCAAAGGACATGAAAACTGTTGTAGATCCTGTCCACTCATGATTATATCAGGAATAGGAACACCAATAATCACATTAGCCATGAGGTGATTAGGTTTCAACAGTGAATTTCTGTATTTGATCTCCAACACATTCTGCTTTTTAAAGTTGAGTTCTGAAATTAGAAACAAGAGCAGATGGCAGTAGATTCACTTTAATTCAGAGAGTTATTAAGAAATTTTGAATTGTTTTACTATAAAATTTTAAGCGTGTTTTAATGTCGTCATAAACAGAAGGGTGGGTTGATGAGTTTACTCAGATTAGGGTGGTACAACCTTTGGGGCGGAGCCTCTGACTCTGGTTGGTTGGAGAATGTTTTCCAGGCCGTATAAAAATGCCGGTGTCTCGGCGCTGAAACTCAGAGAGGAGCAGAGGTCTGTAGAGGTAGAGGTGCCGGCTTCGGAGCTTTCAGACTTCTGCTGGAAGTCTCCAAGTCAAGGTAAGTTACGCCTTCTGTTTAAGCTATTTCCAATGTCCTATTCTCTCTTTGGCTACAAACTGGTGTTTTCGAATACCTTTAACTATTTATTTTAGAGGAGAAAAAACTAGTTTTTTCCTGTGCCAGGGAACTTTCTTCACCTTTAACTATAACATTGCCGTTTAAATTTTTACATATGAATCTCAGGTCACTCTTTGCATGAACTTGTATTTTTTTTTTTTTTTCTTGAGACGGAGTCTCGCTCTGTCGCCCAGGCTGGAGTAAAGTGGCGTGATCTCGACTCACTGCCACATCCGCCTCCTGGGTTCACGCCATTCTCCTGCCTCAGCCTCCCGAGTAGCTGGGACTCCAGGCGCCCGCCACCACGCCCGGCTAATTTTTTGTATTTTTTAGTAGAGACACGGTTCCACCATGTTAGCCAGGATGATCTTGATCTCCTGACCTCGTGATCCGCCCGCCTCGGCCTCCCAAAGTGCTGGGATTACAGGCGTGAGCCACCGCACCCGGCCGTGAACTTGTATTTTTGTGTGTTTTCAACTACACTGGATTTGCTGTTTTAAAATAGTTTCTTTTTATTTTCAGAATATTTCTTAAAGAATTCTGGGTTTTTGGCGGGGCGCTGTGGCTCGTGCCTGCACTTTGGGAGGCTGAGGTGGGTGGATCACGAGGTCAGGAGACCAGCCTGGCCAACATGGTGAAACCCCGTCTCTACTAAAAATACAAAACTCAGCCGGAGGCTGAGGCAGGAGAATTGCTTGAACCCGGGAGGCAGAGCTTGCAGTGGGCCGAGATCGTGCCACTGCACCCCAGCCTGGGGGACAGAGCAAGACTCTGTCTCAACAAAAACAAAAACAACAACAAAAAAAGGACTTTGCTTCGGGTTTTCACTTACATATACTTGACCACTTTTAGTAGTTGTGTCATAATTCACCGAATAATTTTATTATTGTTAGATAATTCGATTGTTCCTGATCATTTGGGATGGTAGTTAACACTGCAATGAACAACTTGTTAATAAGTGTAGCATTTTTTTTTTTTTTTTGTAAAATTGTTTTCTTAGATACATTCCAAGGTGGGTTAGACAATTAGATTTCCAGCACCATGTTAAATTTCCCATTAAATTGAAAAAGATAACAGAATTTAAGAAAGAGATAATCTCTGCCTGCCAGCCAGGCACCATCAGATTGGAATGCTGATCAGGACTTGGAAGACAAAGTTTTATGTGGGCAGATACCCTGTCTATTACACACATTTGTGTTTCCAGAGTCCAGTTGAGGCCAAGAGCACAGAAGGGTCTCAATAAGTATTTGTTGGAAAGAGATTAGAGATTATATTCTGGGATGTAGGACAGTTCTAGTAACTCAGGCTGGCCTCAGTGGTGTTCACTTCCTCTCTCTGGTAATGTTGATGCTGCTCCTCTTTCTGTCCCTCATTCTGTTACTACCGTCACCACTGAATGTGTGATTTGTGGGTTCTTGGTAAGAATTTCTGCTAGTTACTGCTCAGTGTAAGCTCTTATTGGAGAATAATCCTCTGTTCATATCGTCTCAAAGGTGCCGTCTAGCTTTGTGAGGCTGTCTTTGGGTCATGGGTCTAGCCAGGTCCAATATGCTGTGCCCAGCATGTCAGAGACAGCTCACTCAAAGAATGACAGTCATGGTGGGAAGTCCTCTGGGGGCACCAGAGGCTCTCAAGCTTTGGGAGCAGTTGGGGTAACTGGAGGGCATCTTCCTTGTCTGGAACATCTTTTTGGTTTGTATTGGCATGATTTTTTGGAGAAGTTCATGACAATTATATTTTTATTCACATTAATTCAAGCCTTAATTAGTTTTATTAGGGTGCTTTAAAGCATTTAATCTAATAACACTTTGTCCTTAAACTTGATTGGGCATCTCATTTTGCAGTGGATTTTGCTGGCTTTACTCACATGTAATTTTCCTGGAAATTCTGAGGGTTCCTTAGAGTCACTTTTCTGTGACGATTAATGTAGAATTGGCTTTATTTTCATGATTGAATTTAGACATGAAAATTCTTTTTCCTGAACTGCAGGTGATCTACAAAGAAATACTGAGTGGAGACTATACTGAGCTTCTATTAAAGACCCACTTGAATTCAGCCCCCACTAGAAGAAACTTTGGCCAGAGCAACCAACACATCACCTGGAAGTCTTCAGACTAGGTAAGCTGCACTGTCTGAAAAGACAGTTTCCACTGCCCTATTCCTGTCTTGTGATTATCTAGAGTTTGGAGAGTTTTGAAATCATTTTTATCACCATGACTACATTATTGTGATTCTCTAGCAATTTAGTGTCACTTTCTACGCAAGCTACAGAAATAATATTTAATTTTTGTTATTCTTAATTTCTTAGTTAATAAATTTATTGTTATTTATTACATAATATAATTCATTTATGCCAATAACTTATTTATTAATTTCTGTTATTTAATCTTGGATTTAGAGTATTGAAGAGCTCCCAAGTGCTTCCAGAAGCCAATAAAGGATCATTTCAGTCTACTTCACGGCTAAGCAGTAACCCTTAAGTACCATGGCCCAAAACCTGCAAGCAGAGTTGTCCTGTCCAGTTTGCCTGGATTTTTTCTCCTGTCCCATTTCTCTCTCTTGTACACACATTTTCTGCTTTGATTGCATCCAGAATTGGATCCTAGAAAACCATGATTTTAGAGCGATGTGCCCCTTGTGTCGAGATGTGGTGAAGGCACCTCCTTTGGAAGAATGGCAAGTGAGAGCCATAGCACTTATCGCCAAGCAGCATGATAACCGACTGGTGCAAACTCTGCACGTGAGGGAGGAGCTCCAGCATTTTCGGGAAGATGTGACCCTGGATGCAGCCACTGCCAGCTCCCTCCTTGTCTTCTCCAGTGATCTAAGAAGCGCTCAGCGTGGGAAGATCCACCACGACCTGACAAAAGATCCTAGGCTGACCTGTGTCCTGGGTACTCCCTGCTTCTCCTCCGGCCAACATTACTGGGAGGTTACAGTGGGAGAGGTGAAGTCATGGTCCCTGGGCGTCTGCAAGGAGTCGGCTGACAGAAACAGCAGTGATTTATCCCCTGAGCATGGCTTCTGGATCATTAGCATGGAGGCAGGAGCAATCCATGCTAACACCGACCTGGAGAGAATTCCTGCAAGCCCTAGCCTTCGTCATGTGGGAATTTTCCTGGATGTTGACTTTGAAGAAATCCAGTTTTTCGATGTTGACAATAATGCCCACATCTATACCCATGATTCTTTCTTCTCTTTGGAGCCTTTGCGTCCATTCTTCTGTCTTGAGCTCTTGGGAGAAGGGGAGAGTGGCAACGTCCTGACCATCTGCCCATGAGAAAATCAGCCCTTCTTAGAAGCTTTCTAAGAGGTGAAAGAGAATTTTCGCCTGAGAAAGGTCAGCATGACTGAGGAAGGAATAATGTGCTACAGTGCAAAGACTTGGTAAATTTTTAAAGTAGATTTTGTAGACTTTGTAGCAAAACAATTTTTGGATTTTTGGGGTAAATTTTGTAGAATTTGTAGCTAGGTAACTGGGGTCTTTGGGGATGTTATTAAGTACTTTGTTTAATAACAAAGATGTTATTAATAACATCTTTGAGGATGTTATTAATATTAAAATGTATTGTTAATGGTGATTCATATTCTTATGGGAAGTGTCATTTACTGATCTCAATAATTGGACTGTTGTGATTTATAAGAATTCTTATCAACCATGTTAACTCTAACACATATTCATCAAAAATTGTTTTCAAGGTTGCATTTTGGATTTATTTTTTATTTGTAGAATTTACATTTTCTTGCAAATACATTTATAAAGCACTGGATGTGTTCGTGTTTATGCTGTTTGGTCTGTCTCTCACATCAAGTCTGAAGTTGGTGCCCCTCTTCTCCCACCACATCTACATGGTCCCAGACTGTGATTTCCAGTATCTCATCCTTATACTTTCATGACGACTCCTTTTCAAACTATTCAGGTCTCTTAGGGTTGTATTTTTTCTGATTTACTGAGTCAGCCACTTCTGAGATTACAACTGCCCCCAAAGGACTGGGGTCTGAGCATATTCTGGAATCTGCCTTTGACTTCTTTTCTAGAGAGACCCAGAATTGTCGTTTCCCTTCCCTTTCCAACTTCACTGGGAGTAGGGAGATAGCCATTTTCCGCTTCTTATTCTCGTTTGATCTCTACAACTTTATTTCAGGGGACTCATTGCCCTTCCCTAACACTGGACAAAGTTTCAGGATACAAAATAAATGTACAAAAATCACTAGCATTCTTGTATACTAACAAGAGTCAAGCTGACAGCCAAATCAGGAATGAACTCCCATTCACAATTGCCACATAAAGAATAAAATACCTAGGAATACAGCTAATTAAGGGAGGTGAAATATCTCTATGAGAACTACAAACCACTGTTTAAAGAAATCAGAGATGACACAAACAAATGGAAAAACATTCCATGCTCATGAAAAGGAAGAATCAATATTGTTAAAATGGCCGTACTGTCCAAAGCAATTCACAGATTCAATGCTATTCCCATTAAACTACCACTGAGACTCCTCACAGAACTACACAAAACTATTTTGAAATTTATATGGAACCAAAAAAGAACCTGAATAGCCGAGGCTATTTTTTAGCCAAGGCTAAGCAAAAAGAACAAAGCTGGAGACATCACAATACCCGACTTCAAACTACACTACAAGGCTACAGTAGTATAGTTTGTGTCACTACCAAAACAGCATGGTACTGGTACAAAAACAGACATATAGACCAATGAAACAGATTAGAGAACCCAGAAACAAGACCACATACCCACAACTATTCGATCTTTGACAAACCTGACAAAAACAAGCAATGGAGAAAGGATTCCTTTTTCAATAAACTGTACTGGGATAATTGGCTAGCCATATGCAGAAGATTGAAGCCAGACCCATTCCTTACATCACATACAAAAATCAACACAATATAGACGAAAGATTTAAATGTAAAACCCCAAACTATAAAAACCTTGGAAGACAATCTAGGCAGTACCATTCAGGACATAGGCATGGACAAAGAGCTCATGATAAAGATGATGAGAAGCAATTGCAACAAAAGCAAAAATGGACAAATGGGATCAAATTACACTAAAGAGCTTCTGCACAGCAAAAGAAACTATCAACAGAGTGAACAGGCAACCTAAAGAATGAGAGCAAAGTTTTGCAAGCTATGCATCTGACAAAGGTCTAATATACAGTATCTATAAGGAACTTAAGTGTACAAGAAAAAACCAAACAACCATTAGAAAGTGGCAAAGGACACTAACAGAAGTTTTTCTAGAGAAGACATACATGTGGCCAACAAGCAGATGAAAATAAGCTCAACATCAATGATTATTAGAGAAATGCAAATCAAAACCACAATGACATACCATCTCACACCAGTCAGAATGGCTATTATTAAAATATCAAAAAGTAACAGATGCTGGTGAGGTTGTGGAGAAAAAGGAATGCTTATATACTGTTGGTGGGGGTGTAAATTAGTTCAACCATTGTGGAAGCCAAAGTGGTGATTCCCCAAAGACATAACGACAGAAATACAGTACACTTTAAAAAAAAAAAAAAAAAAAAAAGAAACTGACTGGAGACAAAGGCTCTCATGCAGGCCTTGCTCTTTTCGTAGGAAGCAAAATGACGAGATGTTGCTTTAAGGGCGCAAATGATCTTAAACTTCAACTTTCAGATTTGCATCCAGGTGAAAATGTGAAAAATTCACGTTAACAGGTATCAAGTATGTCACTTTCTGAGACATGTTACTTAAGCAACATCCCGGTTCTATGGCCTCCTCACGTGGTTCTGAAGTAGCATTGCCTGAAGATCGTTTCTATTTTCTTTGTAAGTTTCCTCAGTAATGAGGGAGTAATTTCTGGGATTAGTGACCACATCCACTCTGTACTGAACCTGTGGTCTCTTAGTGTGGGCAGATTATCTAGCTGTAAATGTTCTCCCTCAACAAGTGAAGACATTCCTTTTTAAGAAATTGCATTAGGGAGCAATTGCTTAGGTTTGTGGACAACCTTCCAAATCAATAGCAAGGTGGAATGAATCTATATTTCTTCCTAGGAGAATGATTTAAGTATCAAAGACTAAGAGAGGGCTTTGGAAAAATGGAAACATTCATGCCAAAAGCATCCTGTTTATGGTTTTGCCACTAAAGTTAACCACAAATTAGGATTGGAGGTTTTATCCAATTATGTTAGAAAAATTACTTGATTCAGTCTTTGTTCAGTTGAAGGAGTTGTGCTCAGTTGCAATGATCAGCTAACCTTTGTTGTAGCTAAAGTTAAACTAATTTTAATTAGTTTTTAATTGTTTAAGATGACATTTCAAATAAAATTTTTATTATTTTCCTATAAAAATGTTCTCCCTCTTTAAACTTTATTTTTCATAAATATTTATAATCATTCATGTGCTAGATGCATATTTTGTGATTTTTTTGTGCTTCAGACTGTTTTTTTTTTTTAGAAACTGGTATTTGTTTTCCATTAACCTTATTTCTATATTGCTTAAGAGCCCATGCAAGGGCAACTTAAGACCATTCAGTGGTTGTTTTTACCCATTCAATGGCCTGAGACTGGAAGTTCAGACCAGTCTTCCATGGCAGGCCGAGTGCTCCAGTTTTCAGTAGGGAACTGCTGAATAGTCACAGAGGGCACCTGCACGCCTTCAGACCAGTCTGCAACCTCGGGCTGAGTAGCAGTGAACTCAGCAGCTGAAGCAGTCCATTCACCCTGAAATTCCTCCTTGGTCAGAGCCTCTTCAGCAGCAGCCTGCTCTTCTTTTTCAATCTCTTCAGGATCTCTGGAGAAGTAGAGATCAGGCATGACCTCCCATAGGTGTTCACGGGAAATGGTGCCACGCATGCACCGAACTTCCTGAGCCGGCATCCACCACATCAAACCCACTGAGTGTGCTCCCTTGTTGTTGCATGGGATGGCAATGTCCACATAGCGCAGAGGAGAATCTGTGTTACAGAGCAGTAGTAGGTAAGTTAACATAAGATGCCTCTGTGAGAGGCTGGTGGTCAGCCCTGGGGTCAGTAACCACAAGAAGCCATGGCTTCCAGAAAGCTGCCTGGATCTGGTTAGTGAAGGTTCCAGGAATGAAGCGGCCAACAATTGCAGTGACTCCAGTAGCAGCAGCAAACTTCAGCACGGCCCTCTGGCCAGTATTCCTGGAGGATATAACACTGACATCTGCAGCGTTTTCAATGGCAACAGTGGCATGAGCTGTCAGCAGAAGCTTCTCCCAGGTCCTCTTCAGATTTATGTTGTAGATGCCATCACTTTTACTTTTACAGATGTACTGTTCCATCTGGAAGTCAAGATTGGTGCCACCTAAGTGGGTTCCTGCTGCAAGGACATCAAGGGCTCCGGACATTGTGAAAGTTTCCCTTTAAGTTACGAGGGGAATCCAGAACAACGCCGTATGGACCCCTCTGTGGGTAACGCAGAAAGGCTTCAGACTTTTTTAACTAGCTAATAAATGCATGGGGTCCAATATTTAAAATGCCACATAATGAAACTGTTTCCTGACACTCCCCATTTATTCATTCTTCCCGAAAACGACTCCTGTTACCAATTGCTTGAGGATTCTTCCAAAGGTATTCTATATGTATATATATATATGCATGTATTTCACCTATATATAAATTTAGTACTGCATATACATTATTTTGCACATTGTTTTCGCTTGAGGAGATTGACTTCAAACAGTCTTTTTTCAGGACTCAGATAATACTTTTTGTGTTATATTTATCAACTTAGTCAATTCTGTGCAAACAATTCTCAATCAGATTCATAAGCATACATTTTCCCTTAAGTTTTTCCAGGAGGTCATTAACACCTCTCACTCCAAAATGCATGACATCACAGCTGCCGTCAAAGGACTTCTAGAAGATCTAATTACTACAAAATAACAGTAAAATCAGATTGACCTCAAACCCTCTATCTTTCAAAAAAGAAATAATTTTGTTTTTCAAGCATTGTTATCGGGTATAGTAAAAATGATTTTTTGTTTGTTTATTTTGAGACAGAGTCTTTCTCACTCTGTTGCCCAGGCTGGAGTGCAGTGGTGTGATCTCAGCTCACTGCAACCTCCACCTCCCAGGTTCAAGCAATTCTCTTGCCTCAGCCTCCCAATCAGATGGGATTACAGGTGCGCACCACCACACCCAGTTAATTTTTGTATTTTTGTAGAGACAGGGGTTTGCCATGTTGGCCAGGCTGGTCTCAAAACTCCTGACCTCAAGTGATCTGCCCGCCTGGGCCTCCCAAAGTGCTGGGATTACTGGCGTGAGCCACCGTGCCCAGTCTGCAGGTTATACCTCCTTAATGTTACAAATTGATGAAGATTAAGTAAATAA